AGCAACCTCCAACTCCTGGGCTCAAGCAAGTCTCCTGCCTCCGCCTTCCAAGTAGCTGGGACCTCAGGCGCCCACCACAACACCTGGCTTTTTTTTTTTCGGTTGTAGCCGTCATTGTTGTTTGGCAGGCCTGGGCTGGATTCGAACCCGCCACCTTAGGTGTATGTGGCTGGCGCCTTAGCCACTTGAGCCATAGGTGCCGAGCCAACATAGAAAGAATTTCAAAAGTACTTTGTTCTTTTATTCTAACTTATTATTTTCTAAATTTAGATATCTGAAAATACTGAGTCACATACCTAGAAAAATAACAATCACACACTAGGAAAGTTGAATAAGTATTATAGCAGTGGTTCTCAACTTGGGATCACGACCCACAGGGAACTGTATTAAAGAGTCACGGCATTAGGAAGGTTGAGAACCAATGTATCATAGCATGAAATACAGATGAGTACCCTCTTACACCATTATGTAAATTCAACTGTACTTCTTAAGAGTAACGGTGATCATGAGTATATACTTATATGTGTTTTGAATTACAGTTGGTCTTATAGAAGAATTTAAAACAGAGTTATTAATTTGGAAAATGGCATAAAGTTTGCGGGGCTTTTTCTGTGTTTTTTTTTTTTTTGCCAGTGGACAGGGTTTTAAAAAAAAGGTATCTTTTTTAAATAATATAATTTTAAAAATCTTATCTTTAATAATCTTTTTAAATAATATAATTATTTTTTAATAATATAAGATAATATCTATCTTATGTTATCAAGTACCATTAAATTCCTATAGTTGCAAAGGCGCTCCAGTAGCATTAAGAGGAAAAATAGCCAAGATAGACATGCTTCTTTGAGGAAAAGAAAATTCCAAACTTAAGTTTCTTCTGTTTTGTTTTGTCGGTTACTAAAAGTAGTGCTTTAAAAATTTCCCACTATGACTATGGATTTATCTGTTTCTCCTGTAGTTCTTTTAGTTTTGCTTTTTATATTTTGAGGTAGTGTTGTTTGGTACATACAAATACACAAAGATTGTTTTATCTTTACAGTGTCTTTTATTGTTTTAAAATATCTATTAATATGGCCATACAACATTTCTTTTGCATAGTGTTTATATGGGTTATTTTTTATCCTTTTACATTCAACCTTTATCTTTTATTTAATGTGTATATCTCATAAGTATCATGTTGCTAGCTTTTATTGATACACTCAAAAATTTTTACTTTTATTTAGTCCATGCACATTTTGTGTGCTGATAACATTAGATTTAAACTATTTTTTTTTGTCCCACATGTGGTATATTTCTTTCAGTCTTTCTTACCTTCTTTATGGTTGTTTTCTTTATTCTGTTACTCTAGCGCATTGCTTTTTGGTTACATATTCCTTTACTATTCTGTCAGTAATTACCTAAGATTTTAATATACATCTCGACTTGTTAACGGCTGCTATATACTACATTAGTACTTTTGTCACCTTTTAGATAATGCAGGAATTTTAGAACCTTTGTTGCCATTTGCCTATTCCTATTTTTTGGCGGGGAGGGGGAGAGTATTGTGTATTTTATCTCTATGTGTATTTTAAACCCTTAAGACATGTTTATACAGTTAACATTAGTTAGACATATCCAAATATCTATCCTTCTTGTGCCTTTCATTCTTTCAGATATTTTTGTGGTTTTTGCTTTGGATAGTTTTCCTTCTAATTGAAGAGCTCCTTTTATTATTTCCTTTCATGTCGATCTACTGTGACACATTCTCTTAGTATTTTTGTGAAAATATCTTTCTGCCTCGGCGCCTGTGGCTCAAGTGGCTAAGGCACCAGCCACATACACCTGAGCTGGTGGGTTCAAATCCAACCTGGGCCCACCAAACAATGATGGCTGCAACCAAAAAAAAAATAGCCAGGCGTTGTGGTGGGCGTCTGTAGTCACAGCTACTTGGGAGGCAGAGGCAGGAGACTCACTTGAGCCCAGGACTTGGAGGTTGCTGTGAGCTGTGATGCCACAGCACTCTACCCAGGGTGATAGCTTGAGGCTCTGTCTCAAAAAAAAAGAAAATATCTTTCTGACGTTATTTTTTATTTTTTAGTTTTTATGAGACAGAGTCTCACTATGTCGCCCTGGGTAGAGTGCGATGGTGTCATAGCTCACAGCAACCTCAAATGCTTGGGCTTAAGTGATTCTCTTGCCTCAGCCTTCCAAGTAGCTGGACTACAGGTGCCCACCACAACGCCTAGCTATTTTTTTGTTGCAGTTGTCATTATTGTTTAGCTGGCTCAGGCTGGGTTCAAACTCGCCAGCCTCGGTGTATGTGGTCGGCACCATAACCACTGTGCTACGAGCACCAAGCCCATTTGACATTATTTTGAGTAGAGTTTCTTTTACATATAGAAATCTGAGTGTTGGCAGTTATTTTTTTCCCAGCATTTTTAAGATACCATTCCATAATACATTTCTGTTGACAAGTCAGTTGTCCTCTTGCTTCTTTGAAGGTAATTTCTTTGTTTTTGATTTTTAGCAATTTTGCCATGGTGTTTCTATTTCTGGTTTTCTTATATTTATTCTATATGCTTTTTGCAGGGATTCTTAAATCTCTAGGTATAGTGTTTTTAAAAAAATTAGACAGTTTTTGGCTATTATCTTTTCAAATAGGTATTGTTTCAGATCCAACTTTGTCTAAGCTGCTTTTAAACTCATTTGTTGAGTACTTAATTTTGGTTATTTTACTTTCACTTTTGGAATTTCCATTGGATTTTTTTTTTTTTTTTTTTTTTTTTTTGCAGTTTTTGCCTGGGGCTGGGTTTGAACCAGCCACCTCTGGCCTATGGGGCCAGCGCCTTACTCCTTTGAGCCATAAGCACCACCCTGGAGTTTTTTTTTTTTTTTTAATAGTTTTCGCTTCTCTCTTGGAGTACTTCAATTTGTCATTTAAGTTTTTGAACATAAGAACTCCAGTTTTTGAAAAGTCTGTGTCAAATCAATAATTTATAGACCTTCTGTGGATCTTTCTTAGTTTTTCTTGTCTTGTCCTTTTTGATTTCTAGTCAGTTGTATTTTTTTGTTTTGTTTTGTTTTGTTTTGTTTCATTTTGGATATTTGGATATTTGAGTGAATACTAGACATTCCTTATGAAAACTGTGGAAAATAACTGTGGAATTTCTTTCTGCTCATGTTATCTTTCTTCAGAGAGGATTTACTTTTGCTCCTACACAGGATTAGCAGATGATCTTACTGAAGATTGAATTGTTTAGAAGCCAGGCTTTAGTTTTGGGAGAACTGCTCTTTGTTTTTGGTTCACTCTTATTCCTAGACTGTAGCTTTTAGGGGATTCTAACTGAAAGGTGGAGAATTAAGTAGGATTCCTCCTCCTTGGTGACCTGTAACTCCAGTTTTTGTTTCTCATTCCTATTATATTGCTGAAAGCTCTGCAACTTCTTAGGCTCTCAGCTACCATTTTTGAAATAGCGCCTCTAGAGGAAATCCTAGAAAGGAAAAGCTGTACCAGACGTCTAGTTTCAACTCTGCACTTCCTTGCTTTTCCAGTTCTCTAAGGTCCTCAAATGGGTGCTTTAGACTTTCGTCTGGCTTTTTCTCATGGCTACAAAATTGGTCTAAATAAATGGTCTAGTTTGCCATTGTCAAAAGCAGAAATTTTCTCCCTTCCTTTTTGGAGGAAGTAATTAGGTTTGATTTTGCATTGACAGTGAGGAGATGGTAATTTTGGAAAATATTTATGCTTTTTATACTTTTAAAGGGAGAATTATGATTGTCCTCTTTTCAGACTGTTTTTTTTTTTCTTTTTTTGGTGGGGGGAGACAGGGTCATACTCTGTTGTCCAGGCTAGAGTGCCATGGTGTCAGCCTAGTCCA